TTTAAGTCTTAAAATTTTGGGCCATGAGATTTTGATTAGGTCCATTTTTGTTTTTAAATATTAGAGTATGGGGTTATTGTTTTGAAATAGGTAAATATGTATATTTTAGTACATGACTTAAAGAGACAATGTACTATTTAAGTTTTAATTTTATCTTTTTAGGTTTTTTTCTGAATCTAGTCTAAAAGTTTAATTTGGTATTTTATTTCCTTTAGTTCAATAAAGTATTTGCACCTGACTTTATGATTCAAATTGATACTTAAATTTGATGACATGGTTCAGATAAATCAGTAACGTAAGTATAAAGTTGGACCAAAAAAATTAATTGGAGTACCCATTTGAGTTAAGAAATCAAATTCATATATCTAATTAGAGAGAGAAAAAACTCTAAATACTAAATTGAAACTTAAAATAAATACATTTCCTTTTACCACGGATAAATCTAAGGTGAATACAAGGTATTATCTATTTAAATTCTTTAAAATCCTTTGACAATTAAACTTATACCTTGTATACGCGGTACTTGAACACAGGACCTCAAGTAGGGGTGGGAATAGGCCAGGCCAGGCCAGGCTTTAATAGGCCTGGGCCTGGCCTACATTGATTTGTATTGGCCTGGGCCTGGCCTGTGGCCTGTCAAAGGCTTTTATTTAGGCCTGGCCTGGGCCTGTTTAAAAGTCTGGCCTGTTTAAAAGCCTGTTTAACAATAAACATTTAATATTTTCAGTTTAGCCATTAATTTTAGAGTAAAATCCTTATTAAGTCACTCTAACTTAGTATATTTTACAAAGTAGTCACTCTAAATAGGCCTGCCTATCAGGCCTATAAGGCTTTTTAATAGGCCTAAGCCTGGCCTGTTTAGTTAAATAGACTTTTAAAAAGGCCTGGACCCGGCCTGTTTAGTTAAATAGGCCAGGCCAGGCCAGGCTTTATACAGGCCAGGCCCAGGCCCCTGGAGGCCGGCCTGGCCTAATCCCACCCCTAACCTCAAGTGATAATGACAAATTCCTTACTCATTAACGTCATTTAATTTGTAAACCAAACTTTTTATGAAGTCAATATGATAATTACTTCCACAAAAGAATGGCAACATTCTGTGCCATCAATGACTTGGATTCTTCATGGAAAAGATCAGATCAATTAAACTATCCCCTCTGATTTTTTAGAGGAAAACAGAAAGAGTGATGATGAAAACGAAAATCAACCACCACAGCTTGTAATGCGACCTACATTGATTAAAATCAATTCAACCTCATCTTTGGGTGGTTGATGATACTGTGATGAACTATTAGCAATTCCAACAAAGTATGCAGCTTTTGTAGGGCCTCCTTTTATTAGCCATGCTTTCTATACTGGAAATAATAATCAAGAGAGAGATAAGGTAGTTGCACTTCTTTAACTCACAGTTTTAAATGCCCCATCCCCTCTATAATGGCTCACAGGCAAACATTCATTTCATTGGGTGGGGGGAATACCATACACTTTCCTTGCAGAAACTCATAGCTTCTTCTCATACTTCCATAGAATCTTTTGAACTTCTCAAAACTTTTTAATATTTAAAGAAGGAAGTTCTCTCCTTTTTTCCAAGTCAATATTATATTTCAGAAGGATTCTTTTTTCTATGGGTTTAGTTTGACACAAAACCGATTCTTGAGGAAGTTTCCATGACTCCTGTCCCCTTTAGAGGTTCAACTTAGCTGATTACACTAATCAGTAGAATTCAGAATTTAAAATTAGGTAAACTCCCGATTTGATCACCCACTTATTACTTAATTTCTATTTTATTCACTTAACTATTTTTTTTTTCAAAATCATACCTAACATTACGTTTTGGTTCTGTTTGGGTCACCCGTTGTTAAAAAATTAACGATGATATTAGCGTGTCACCGTAAAGTAACATGATGTTAGCATTGAAAAATAATTAAAAATGTCATATCAACATCACATATTCACATCTTTAACGGTGGGTGATCAAAATATAACCAAACCATAACATTATGTATGATTTTAAAAGGAATAATAATTAGGTGACCAAAATAGAAATTAAGTAACAGATGAATCACCAAATAATAGTAGTATTCCCTCATTGGCACACTGTATATACGTGAAGTTACAACTATGATACAGTTTGGATATATTAAAACCGTAGCCTACATCTCTAGGCTGAAACCCTAATAATAGTAGTATTCCCAGATGTCAGAAATTGCCTCAACTTCAACATGTTTCAATTCTTCATCTTTTCCTTGATGGGTAATTAAAATTGATTGAAAAGAGAGAAGCAATGGTTTGGTTTTGTCCCATAGTTTTCATAGATTTGCACTCTCATTTATATTAACTGAGTGAAGTAGAGTGCATATAATTGTTTGGTAAGGAGTGGAACTGTTGTAAATAAATGAACTGAGATGTATCCATAGACGACGAACAAGAAAAATTGAATTAGATTTTATAACACAAGGAAGAGAGACAATGGAAAAGATCGAATGGAGCTGAAAACAATGTTGAATCACGTGAAACATAGTTTTATTGATCTTTTTTTGGTTTAACATCGTTATCTCATCTATTCATGGATTATTCGGAATCTGGTTTTGGAGAGGTTCATTGCAGAAAATGGAAGGGGAAAGGGAAACCAGCGTGATGGGCAGGCATAGCAGTTGCAGAACATAGTAAAGTAGATAAGTGAAAGTAATTGCATTAATGCAGAAGGCAAATTATATTGAATCTTATAGGATTATAACAGGAGAGAAGGTACAGAAGAAACAAGAGCATTAACACTAGCCTTTCCCCTTTTCTTCCCCTTTTTTCTCATAATTCTCTAGATCATTGCTAAAGCTTCACTGCCCTATAAAATCCTCATTTAAACCTCTCACTGAAAAGGCTAAAGTCAATACTCTCCCATTCACTTTAATAAATAATAATACAAAGAAAAACGAAAAAACTGGTGACATGAAAAAATAGCAGAAAACTTCCCTAGTTGTGAAGAGGATTAGGACCCGTATGAACTACCCTCTTATCATCTTCATTTACAGTGTCTGCTGGATCATCTTCATTCCCAGAAAACTGAGATAGGCTTGATGGAGCATGAAAAGAAGCAGTGTCCAAAAACTGGACTTTCCTTGGGGGATGACTAGTAGTGCTGGTTTCATCATTATGAACAGCACAATGGGAACTAAACTGAGAACAAATCAAGATAATATACATGAAGAAAACTGCAGCTCTAACTCCACTAAATCTGCCAGTGCCGCCTGTAAGAATTGTCATTGCAGCTGAAGCATAAAAGGACCAAATGGGATAATGCTGAGTTGCTCTATACAGTACAAAAAAGAAGGGAGTTTTGAGTTGGTTCTCTCTAAATCTATGGAATTTGAGAGGAAAAGAAAAGCTCCTTACCTTATTGGTGTGGTCACATGATCTTGACCCTTGATTCCCGGGAACTTCTTAATTTTCCCCTTCTGAAATCTTTGGACTTAGCACCTTTTTACTCTCCCACTGCTCGCATTTTCTTTGCATATGTTTTCTAGTTTTGGTTTCTGTTTGTTTATTACATAATGAATGTACTATTTTTTTTCTTTCTTTTTTTTCACTCAAATGTTGCTGGGAGAGTGTGTTGTGAGAAGCCAGTTCAGTCTTAATAGCCATTGTCTGCGGGAATATACACTTTTATATTGTTGTTTGGTGCACCATTGCCCTTGGGTAAAACAACACTTGACGCTCTCCCACTCTTTCCATTTGTACCACTGTTACTGTATTAATGAATAAATTGAATTGTATGACCTACAAATACCCTTCCTTTGTATTTTTATATACTGGACCTAAAATGGGCTAATTATTCTTTCATCCACGTCAATTAGTATGGTTATATATCACGGGGTCATTACTCTCCTACCGATAGACATATTTGATAAAATGTATAACATCACCATTTATAAATTTTAACATTTTCTTTTTCTTTTCTATAAAGATTAACGTCTCTCACCATATTTATGTCTAAGATCTCTATTTACATTTTCAAAAACAACTCAAGGCCCAAAAATCCTTTCATCTCCTACATTCATTAACCACAAAAATGGGTATTTACGGGCTTTAAATTAGCGAATGAAAATGTAAAACAAACAATTCAAATGCCTAATAGGTGTGGTGTAGCCCCGTCCTTCAATAAAAAACAAACCTCAATGTTCAAGAAATTGGAGCCAACTTGTACGAACCAAGTTACGTTATCTCTAAATATTCAAGCACCAGAAATTGCAAAAGGTATTTAAGTTTGTATTATCAAATATGATTGAAAATCTTTAAAACAGATTTATTTTGTAATCACCCTAAACTAATAAAAAATGATAAAATACACCAATAATCTTCCGAGTATAGGATATTATTTTGTTGAGTCTTCCAACTATTAAAAGTTACAAAATGATTATCTATAATCAATGAACCATTTGTATACTTTACCCAAAATAAAAATTAAAGCCAACCTTTCGCCATAGCTGATAGCTCAGACCGTAGCCCGTATTTTTTGTTATCTTAAAGTTCATACAAGCCTTTTAATTATTAGTCCTGTTGCTGCTTTAATTATTAGTGCTGCGGTTGTTGCTGCCTATTACACTCAATTTGAAAGAAAATTTGTGGCATGCCATGCTCACGTGCAAGTGTGTGTTTGTATATATAGAGGGAGATATTAGATATTAGACTACAAAATTACATAATGTCCATATGAAATTGTTGGCTCTAATTAAAAAAAATGATTGTCCTTGTTCTCATATGTAATGGGGCAAGGAAAGATAAGAAAATAGGTTGTCCCCAACACTAGGTTGAGAGCAGCTTCCGTAGGAGACCTCCAAAATATGAAATACCCTCCATGGGACTCAATCCTACGACCTCAAATTTAAGAACCTTGTGCTCTACCAACTGAGCTGGATGGTCATTTCTTGTTGGCTCTAATTACATTCCTAGAAAAACTTGTACAAAAAAAGAAGGAAAAAGACGGCAACATTTCTAGACAAGAATAAGCAAAAACCCTTGAAAAACAACTGCTGTGTTTTCTGCACAAGTTTAAAGACAATACAGATGTGAGACAAATGTCTGAAACAGACCAATGACTAAAAATGATTAAAGGATTAAATATCCAGCAAGAATTGCTGAGAAATTCTTGGAATCTAAATGAGTTATACATGAAAAATAAGGACCCTGATTTCTGACAATATGTACACCAAATTCCTCCCCGTCTTAACACTTCAAACTGAAATTATTTTACAAACAATAACAAAACTAGGGTGTGAAAGTATACAATGTGTTATACCAACAGCCTTACTAGATACAGCAGCTGTAACCGCAATCGTGAAACAATCTCTCCGGTTAATGATGGGATTACCCCTCGTAGAAAAATTGTCGATCTCCTGTTCTCTGGCATCATATACAAAAAGATGCAACTCCCCATCAACTCAATCCTGGTGAAGTAATTTGATCGATAGATCAATGTGACCTCTGAAAAAAATCATCAAAGCTCCCAAAACCTGATCGTGTGCCCTCTTGCAACATGAAGAGGATAACAAAATTAAAAAGTCGGACACAAAAAGCGGGGCCAGCAGCAAGTTGTGCTCACTAAATCATACAGGTATAAGAAATGCTCCTCAAAATCCCTCTCCAAGTCGATCATGTTCCTGATGATGTTCTTGATGCGGCTGATTTGTTTGTACGACACATGCAATCAGGGCATGGAAAAGTATATATCGAATCACTAGGCCTTTTCAGCTCAAATCCCTTAGAGTCACTATGAGACCGCATATTCAGCATTTGTCGCTTAAAACTTTTCCACCTGGAATAAAAAGGAAAGTGAATTGAATCCAGCAATTTTTATTACAAGTAAGAAGCAACTGCAAGACTAGCAAAAAAGATAGTTCTTTCAATATGTATTTCTTCATGCTTATCTAACTGCCAATATTTCCAAGACTTGCAAACTTTCAATAGTACTGCTAAGAATTTTTCTTTCCACCCTACAGAAGCCATTAAACGTAGGAGAAACTAATCCCTGTTTTGGCCCAAATCTTAATAGTGATTACATATCTTACAATCATTTTCACCCTCCTTTTTTCGCCCACTAAATCAATCATTTTGGTCCTTTCAAAGAAAAAAAGGCAACTAAAAGTATATATAGATTCAGAAATAAGATAAATGCATACCCAATATTAGGATTATCAAACACTAATGCCAACTTCCGCTTGTCTGGTCGAATTGTTTTGGAGTGTCCTCCATTCAAGTATCTCCTGTGGCCCATCAGAAAATGAGGAAAATTCCCACCTTGAGTAGTCACAAATACCTCACTATGAAGGCAGACAGTATAATCTATGGCAGCCATTCTGGAAGAGAAGTTCTGAAAGCAGTTATCCAAGTTAAAAAGTTGAATATAATATATGTACATATATATATCGAAGAGGGTGGTGAAATCTTCTATATTTCAACCTTATATGGTGCAAGTTCTTCCTTGGTCGCCAACATCTCTTTTGTTTGCAAGTTGGGAAACATTTCTAATAATGAAGCCATTGTTTTCTCAGCATTGTATATTTTTCCAGAAGCCAAAAAGATATATGTATTGTTATCAAACCCCATTCCTCTAAGCATCAATCCAACCTAGTAGGTGCAAGAAAACAGAGTTATAATTGATATGAGAAACTATACTGTGTCTGTACATGTATGATATATTTTTTTAATACAAGAACATCATAATCAATACAGTAGCAACATTTACCATGTCATGTCGATATATTTTTTTTAATATGTAACTTAAATATGCCAACTCTATTAAGGCCAAGCAACAGACTAACTAAACCGTCAAATAGCCAAAGAAATTCCTAAAGGCAAGTCCAAAAGCAACAGTAAGTCATCTTTCTTAAGATTTCATTACTTCAAGCAGCAGCAGAATTCATATAGGAGTTGTCACATTCTGAGGTCAGTCCTTGAAAGATACAAGAATGTTTATTTAGTTACTATATTTGGGTAAATTGAGTCTCTACTATTTTGACTCAATTAGTACAAATAAAAGATTCTGACCAGGTAATGAATCCTAGGGCACTCCTTTCCTCCTTGTGTGGATTAAGGAACTATTGTTAAGTTCCGTTAATCACCAAGGGGGTTTTATTGAGGCCTTTTATTCCTATCAAAAAAAAAATTACAATAAAATTAATTCTTTTTGCCAGGTAACACATGCTATATAAACTTATTGAAAGCAGTCTAAATTTTCTAGTTTCATTTGGTGCTATTTATTAGATAATGAATAGAGAAATTTCATCATTTCATCAGGTAATATAAATATTTTGAGAGCCTCTGATACCACCAGCAAACAAGACAATAGATAATCAACTAATCAAGAAAACCTATTCATAAAGATGTCCTTTTACCTACACTAATCTCTGAGTACCATCCCAATCTAAAGTGAAACCAACAATACCTCTAAAGGAGTAAGTGGACATTTCCCATTTATTCTGATTGCTCCAGGGCGTATAACTCGACCAGGTTTTGTAAACTTCCCTTTCCAACCTCTTTCCCTTGCTTTTATCATGTCTTGTTTTTCCTGCTCCCCACCATCAAATACGCAACAAGAGAAGGCAACCATATCCTGCACATTAAGAGTGTTATACACTTCTTGCAAAAAAAAGGAGTCGATAAACTACTAGTTTTTAACAGTGAAAAACTATGGCAACTAACAGTCATAGCAGTAACTTTTTATGCTAAGAAGACAATCATGCTACTAACCTCCTCAAAACGAAGATGTACAGAAACATACTTGCCACCACTATTTGCACTGATCTCTTTCATTCTCGCAACCAAAGTTTCCCCAAGGTTTAGTATTGGACTTGAAAACCGTAAAGCTTCATAATTTGCCAAGCACCTGAGTCTTTGAACAGCTGGAGGAGCATCAAATGATAAGCGATTTGCAAAAGGAGAAATCCTTATAATCCTGAGTCACTCAATCAGAAAGCAAGTAGGTTAAATTAAGACAACCATAAACAGTGTTTATTAATGGATAAAGACAACTAGACGAGAGTAAATTGGTGTAAATATGCTGATCTATGCTGCATGCATAGAAAGAAAGTCCTGTTTTTCTCCATGCAATGTTGCTGTAAGCAATAATACTTAGAATCACCACATGTCACTCAAGTAAACAAGCTAAACTTAAAATGTAACAATTATGCAACAATTATGCAACAATTATGCAACAAAAGCATCAAAAGAGTTCAAACTCACTTTTCTTCAAGGAGCTTGGGTAGGACTACATCCTTAAAATAATGAATGGACGACCATGCTTTAATTCTGAAGTTGTAAACATTGGTCAAATTGTGATCAAATCGTTCCATTATGTACTCAGGAATCTTATCAACAATCCGTACATCATTCTTCAAGGCACTGATGAAATAATCTTCATCATAGATATCTTTGAATTTGCTGGAAAAGTTAAAAGTTATTTGAACTTCAATTGACATGATAACAAAATGATTGGTAACATATACTCATATTTCATGATGATTATAACTAACAAGTGTAATGCACAAGAGAAATGATGTGCAAACTAATAATTGAGGTACATGAACCAAGAAAATTGGAAATCAAAGCTATTTTTTGTTCAAGGAAATTTTCAAAAACTTCTATTGCTTCTCTTTGATGGTACACTAACAACATGACATGACAACTCAAAAAAGATTATCACAAACCTGGGATCTCTCCATATGCTATGAAAATGGAAATTTGGGATTAGAAGTGTTGCATTAAGATAGCCAGCCACAGCAACTGCATTGCATATCTGCAAAGTATAAAAAACCAACCATGTAGAGATCATAAAATAGGCAAGCCTTAATAAAATGGAGGTAAAACATAAGTGCTTAATATAAACAAATGAGAAATAAAACCAACCGATGTCCTCTGCTGATTTAAGCCTCCATTAGCTTCAACATATATGTAACCATTTGATTCAGGCAAGCCTATAGTAGTTAATAGAAAAGCCCAGTTTTAAACAAATGATGATAGTCAACAACCAAAAACCATTCTCATGAAAATAAATTTGGAGAATGATTACACACATGCACATAGAAAACAAGCAAATACCTCAAATCTGCAAAGCACCAGAAATGGCACATAAAACTCTAAACGAGAAACATTTACACTAGAATGTTAATGAGGCACCTGAGTTCCAGACATACTAGGATTTTGCCAAAGTTCTGACAAGTTATTCTCAGACACGGACACACGGTTGGACTGCCAAATCTACTCCCTCTCAATGGCACTCTCAAACGTCGTTACTCAAACTCAACTTATGGCGAAAGAAATCATAACCAAAAATAAATATGTTGGTATGGGATAGTTCCACACACCTGAAGCACAAACAATGTTATTTCTAATGCTATAAGGTCTCCTAGGCATAATGGCTAAGAGTTATTGCAAAACTTAGTCAAATTCCAGGTATGACAATACTATTTAAACTGTCATCAACACAATAAGCCAATTGCAATCCTCAGTACTCCCAAGATCATTGACTTACCAGCCTCGAAACCTACTCAATCAATAACTGAGTTGTTTGACATTTAATCAAATGATTTGTAAGTCTAAACTAGAATTTTACATGGGCTTGAAAATTATATAAATAAGGGAGGGCCAGGAAGATCCAGCAAAAGATTTTAACTCTTCAAGTGTCCAATTCCAACTCCTTTTTGGCATGTACCATTGATTTAGAAAATTACTACTATTCCAATTTTTTTAGTCAAATTTTGATGCTTGCAACAATTACCATCAAACCGAAAAATAAAGTAGACGGTACACGGTAGATACAAATTAAAAGGAAGCAATTTGTTACCATTCGCCAAAAGTAATGCCAATAATGAGATTCACTGATATGGATATTACTTGTAATATTTTTATATTTATCAGAAAATTATAAAATCCCAAAATATCAATGAAAATACAGAAACATAACTACAACCTGCTTAATATAAAATGAAGCGAATAAGCCATAGTTGCATACCTTCAGATGACTTATTTAAACAAGGCCTCCACTCCCCCCCCTTATAGAAATTTTTCCAAATAGTCGAAATCTACAACAAATTGAATAAGTTTAGGGAAGATGTAAATTGCAACAATCAAGTTAAAATGCACAAAGCCTTCACCATGCAACCATTGCAGTATAGACTACATAAGTTAAATGGACACTTCAATTGCATGGCATCGTAACTCATACAAGCAAATAAAAGATGCACAAAATTGAGTTATTCATATTCCTCTTCTGCAAGAGACTATTATCAAATTACCAAGTTAGGTCTAGAAGAAGCAAATCATCAATAAATCACCAGTGCTGCACTTTGAAAAGATTTAATCAATCAGAGGAATCTTCTGATTTGAATTCACTTGCACAGTAAACGGACCTTGGTACAATTATCTTCACTATAAAGAAAAGAAAAAAGACAACTGGCTAGACAATGTAGTTTCCCATGTTCTTCAGATCCAGATACGATCCTAAAGATTGTTACAGCTGGAAATGAAGCATATACAACAAGAAACAAGGGTCTACTTCCTCAGCAAACAACAGTGAAGTTTAAATAAAAAAAAAGGAATAATGCTAAAAATGATTCCTTGATTCAGCATTTTACCTCTAGGGAATCTTCAAATAGGGAAAAAATATAGTCAGCTTGTTGTTTCTAAACTTTCAAGAATTGGAAGAACTATTCAGAAATCTCATGTCTAGCTCAAATCATTAACAGAATTGGAAAAGAAATATAACTAACTATATCATCCAAGTTGCTGAAAATTCCACCACAATCCAAACCAAAAAGGAAAAAAGAAATCAAACAAAAACACAAAATTTGGAATGGTTCAACAAACAAATCCGACCCAAAAGAGAAAATCTTACCTAAAATCCATCCCGCAATAATAAGATCCAAGAGGCCATCAGAATTGAGTAAAAAGGAACAGATCGAAAACAAGTGACTCACCGCATCAACAGAGGAATTATCGGCATTCATATCAATGTTAAGCTTCTCATAAAGCTGAGGACTCCGGTAAACGGAGCCGGGTATGGGTCGGTGTTTAATAACGGGAACGACATCAAAGGAAACGGTGCCCATATAAAGAAGCATCCCAGAGATGTAAATGAGAGGAGCAAAAAGGAAAATCCCTTGTCGACGAAGAAGAACCGAAAGAAGTAACCAAGCGAGACGATGGGCAATGGTCCTCCCCGGTTGGAACGGGCTGAACCGGCCCGACTTCCTCCCCTGGCGGTACCTCGGTGAACGCAGTGGTGATGACGGCGGTGATGGGGTGCTGCGACCGCTACTTGGAATCCTATTTTTCGGGTGCATTTGAAAAAAATAAGAAACGCAAACAATCCTCTGTTTGTTTTTAAATTGTCTTTCTTTAGTGGCTATGTTATAGAGGAAGACAAAAACAGTTTTTTTCCCCTCTCCTGTTGGTGTTGGTGGGAGGAGAAAGAATGAAGAAAAGAATAGAAGACGAAGGAAGCGAAATGGAAAATATATTTGGGAGTGCCTTTACTTCCAAAATAATTAATTATTACCATTTCTACTTCTTATTTTGTAAGAATTTCCAAACTATACTTTTTTTTTTTATCTAAATGGGTGCCTACAATATTTTCTTAGTTCATCTAGGTATTTAACGTTATAAATATGATCACTTTAAGTGTCTGAGACGTAACAGCAGTTAGTTTTCTTCGTTAAGTGATATGTGTAATAATCTAGTTATTTTTAAATTTTTTTAAATATTAAAAATATTATTATATTTATAAAAAAAAACTTCAAAATCCCTAAAATCTTCAAATCCTAACATTAACCTGTCGTCGCCGACATAGTCTTTGCCATCATCCTAGTTATACGCCACCATAATTGTTGTTGATTGACCGTCGAAATCACGTGGGATCGCGATTTTCATCCTAAGGTTCGTGGGGTATAAATCATCGATTCACTGTTGATCAGTCACGATTTTCATAGGTGTTTTGATCGTCTGAGGAGGTGAGATCGGGCAGAGCTTCATCAACGGCAAAGGGTGATGGGCGATGTGGGTTTAGGGGTTGAAATGAAGGTTTTTAAAGTTTTGGGTTATTTCAAAATTTGTATTTTCCTTTTAAAAATATATATAATTTTATTTTTTTTATTTTATATATATATTTTAAATTATCATATTGTGATGCATGTCATTTAACAAAGGAAATTAACGTCGTTGACGGCCCGAATACCTAAAATGATAATGTTTGTAACGTTAGTCACTTAGATGAGCTAAAAAATACTGTAAGCCCCTATTCGAGAAAAAAATAGTATAGTTTGAGTGGTTATTTAGGTATTAAGCCTTGTAAGAATTCTTTTCATATATATCATATTCTTATTTACTTCCAATTTTATTATCTCGGAATTTATTTCTATATCAAAATCTACACTTTTAGATTAACTGTTTTATTAAATATTTATCTAACATATTTTAAATCAATTTTGTAATGTTTTAATCCCCACTCCTAATATAAACGTTGGTATGTAAAAGTATAAGACATCCCCGTAAGTAGGGCTGAGCAACGAAACCGAGAAAACCGAAAAATCGATATGAACCGAATAAAACGGTTCGGTTCGGTTCGGTTTGGCTTTAAACGGTTCGGTTTTCGGTTCGGTTTAAAGGCTTCATTTTTTTTGATTCGGTTTGGGTTTTCCATATGGAACCCATTTGTTCCATATTGAACCGAATAGACAATTTTTGTAAAAAAAATTATAGTTTCAAGTGATTTTTTTATTGAAAAACCGAACCGAAAAACCCGAACCGTTAAAAAAACCGAACCGAACCAAAAAAACCGATTTCGATTTTTTCGATTTTTTAACTATTCGATTTCGGTTTCGATTTAAATATTGAAAATCCGTTTATTTCGGTTCGGTTTAATTTTTGGTAAAAAACTGAACCGAACCGAATACACCCCTACCCGCCCTACCCGTAAGGTGTTAAAGAATTCTATGTCCATCTCATCGGGGAATATAGATGTACTTTATTGTCTAATAAATGATATTAATGTACTTAAAACTATTGATAATTTATTAAATTAGATTGTTGAGATTAATTCTTTGTTTTTTTTCAATAAATATTTTTTTATTTCTTATTGTTGATATTAATTATATATTTTTACTCGTCTAACGATGTTAAATTTATGTAAAACTAAAAGAATTTATAGGATCCTATCTCTTATCATAGGTTTATAATTATTGAATTATAAACATTGTATTTAGAAAATATATTATTTTTTATATAAAAAGATGTTACTTTGGATTAATTAATAATAATTATTTATTGCTAACGTAATATTATTACATATAAATAAGAGATGATATTGTATATAAAACATGTTTAAAGTAATGATGTGATATATAATATCAATAAAAATATTACTTTTTATTTTATTAAATTAATTTCATCCAAGGTGATAATAGTATGCATCATTCTCTTATAGAAAATATGAAAAATTAAAAAAGAAAATACAAGTGGTCGGACTTAAACTTAGCTTTAAGATGTAAAACTCAATATTGAACCACCAAATAAAGTAACATATGATACATTTGGCAAACACATTCTTAAATTAATATATTTATAATATTTTTGTCAAAAAAATTATAATATATATTAGTATATTTAATTTTCTTAGCCTATCGGTAACGTATACAAACCCTATAAACGTAATAGCTCAAATCATAAACTTTCAAATAGAATAATACTCACATCTACATAATATCACTTAATATGTTTTTGTATATATCCTAAACAAGTTATTAGGGTTTAGGGTTTACTCTTCCCTCAAATATATAAATCTATTATAGGGTATTAGGGTTTAGGGTTTACCCTTCTCTCAAATATAGCAAAAATGAAGATACAAAGCAATGAAGTGCTTAGAAAAGGTCATTATATTGGGGGGGGGGGGGAATGAAACAAGAGTCTAATCTAATTGATTTTGGAAGGTATGGCCATTTGTATCGTTTTCATTTCAATGTTGATGTGAAAAATAATGGTCCCTAAAGAGCGAATACCAGACCTCAGCATCACAAAAATTGACACATACAAACAAAACTAAATGACGATAATTTAATTGTCTTAATCAACAGCTACCACACCAGAGAGCAAGCAGATTGTAACGAAGTCCTCGTCAGAAAAGGAATATGGAAGAATTTAATTCTATTTGCAATTCTCTACGAAACAGTAATTTAAATTCCAATGATTAATCGGTTCAATTAAAACCTCCCCAAAATTGCAAAATTCTCATTGGAGGTTGATGAACATACTCTATCCCCAACACTTGGGGACCCCCAAACCTTGTCAAGACACCAGCTTCGGCTTCTTTAATCACCGATTCAATTATTAGATCATGAAACTACAAAAAGTCCAACTTCACTCCAAAACATTAGGCCCATTCAATGAACTCTATAACATCTCTACTCTAAGCCTACTTGGATTAACTTGAATCATGTTAAAATTGACCCATGACGTTTCATAAAATAAAATTTAGTCAACATTTTATATTCGGATAAAATAATTATTGATTTGGTGAAACCATTAGTCGACTAATGTGTAAGTGTGCCACATAATTAGTTATGTGTAAGTGGCATGTGACATGTCATCACGTATGCACACGCAATATGTGTCATGTCATCATTTATGTACGTATGATATGTGTCACGTCATCACTTTAGATATATAAGATTTGTTATGTCAACGACAAACGTTAATCATTAATCAATTAACGATTTCTATCTAACCAGAGATCATTTTATCCAGAATGAAACGTTGAGATTAAAGTGTTGAAAAAAAGAATATGGGTCAAAATGACTATTTAACCAAACTTTAAGAGTATTTTTTGTCATTATGAATATATATATATATATATATATATATATTTTTTGGAAATCGCATAAAAAAATTAATACCAAAAATAACATCTATTTTAGATATTTTAGATATTAATTTTTAATTTTGTGATATTTAGGTAAAAAAAAAACCTAATAAAGCTCTTTAATATTTTAAAATAAAGTCACTTATTCTATAAGAAAAAACATTGTCGTGAATTTTTTGTTTATGAATTATTAACAATAAAATCATTAAGTGAGACGGGATACTAAATTCTTTCATTTAAATATTCGTTATAACATACGTTCACGTAATAGAAAAATTAATATAAATGTATATGAATGCTTTAAAGTTTTTAATATGAATTATGAATATTAGGTTATATAACACTTACAGTGCAGGTGAAGAGAAAATCTATATAAAAAAAAGGTAAAATTAATATTAACACCAAATATCAAACACAGTTATAAAATGTTTTAGAGACCAACCAGTCTTCCATTTAAAGATTTTTTGGGATGTAGTTTAAGATATTTAAATTTTAAAAATTATAATATTATTAAAAGATCTATTTTTTAATTGTCAACACACCCTTTCGTCCGGGTACAACACTCTCAACAATCTCGATTTAGTGGGATTTAGAAAACAAACATAACGTTAGAGTTTTACTAAGATTCAAACTCCTAAAAATATGATAGAGTTTTACTATGATTTAAACTCCTAAAAATATGATAGAGTTTTACTATGATTCAAACTTCTAAAAATAGGATCTATAAGCATTATAAATAGTCATTGTAACTTACTATTATAACACACAATTTATATACGAAATACGAACATAAAATTTAGAGTAATCAAAACATTATTTTTTGCAAAGTTTCGAAGGCAACAAAGGTAAAAAAAACCTTACATTTTTCAATTGTTAAGCTTGCATGTGTCGTTTGTTTCTTGCTTTCGATTTGTAAAACCACAAAAACTCAAAAGGCCGATAACCTGAGGGGGGTTTTTCGAAATTAACTTTTTAGATCTACCCGAGGATATTTTGTGAAAATCGTTCGGACATTTGGAAAGAGGAGGGAAAAAGCTTTAAAAAATTTAATTTTTTTATATTTTATTTTTTTCTTACTATTATTATTATTTATACTTCATTATTATTGTTATTATATTTTTTATTTTTTATTTTGTTTTTTTAATTTATTATTATTTTTTAAAACATTTTATTTATATGCATATTCATTATATTTTTTATCTTATTTTATTTTATTTCCCTACCATTATTATATTTTTTTCTCTCTCTATTATTTATCTATACGTATTATATATATATATATATATATATTCCATTTATTTTTTTTTATTTTTTTCAAATATTATATTTATTATTACATATATTTTATTTAATATTCTTATACCCTTCTATTTTTATTTTCTTTTATTACTCTTTACTTACTGTTTTTATTATTATTATTATTATTATTCTATTTTATTTATTTCTATTTACCCTTTTTTTCTTCTATTTCATTTTTATTTTTATTTCTTATCTTTATTTTTTTATCTTCTTTACAGTTGTTTTATTTATTTGTATTTTCTTCTTAT